AAAAAAAAAAAAACCTCTTTATTTTTCCAGTTTTCTCTCTCATTTCGAATGCCCTATTTTCTCTTAAGTGCACATCAAACCAAGCTACACAGAGAGGTTCCTATTGTGATGGAAAGTGTGTGTTTGACTTTGAAAATGGGCTTTTTCTAACCCATGGGCAAGCCATGAAAAAATACAATGTAGACTTACAGGGTGGGTTAGAGCAGGTTGATTGCCAATGCGCAGTATTTATGAACTCTGAGAGGGAGCTGACAGTCAGCACTCATGACATGACAGCTCACATTTGCAAAATTGTCAGTAATGAGATCAGCACATGGTCTTGGGATGGATCCACGAGTCATGGGAGCTTCCTGTGGTGCCTGGCACCAGTGGATTGGCCGGAGTTCCCTAGGGCTTTTGTTCTCTGGCCACATCTGTGCTTAAGCCATGGGACCTTTGGGGCTAGTGGAGGGCACTGCTACCTGGGAAGCTGCGGAGACAAGGGTGTGTGGTTGGCTTGCATTAATGTTTTGGTGCATGCTACGTGTCAAAGAAGTATCCATGTGAATGCCAGTGCACAGGAATACCACTGCAGAATATTGCACTGTAACAAGATGATGTCATTTTAATGTTGTGGCTGATTTGTGTATATGCAAACTCAGTAGGAAGCCAGAACTGTGGGACTTCAAAAACCTACTTATTTTAGATCAAATGTTAAAAAGTACTTTTAACGTAAATCCGAACTCTTTTGGGAATAATTAAAGTTATATAGCTTTTTTAAAAGTTGTGTGAATACTATATTTTTTTTTCAACTAGTTTGAGACCAAACCACGCAAAGTACTAAAAAAGAAATACTCTAGAGAGTTGGAAAATTTCGAGTCAGCGTTTCTTATTTCAGCTCACAAGTCTTTAAGGAGGGAAGTAAAAAATATGGTTTTATAGAAGTCCACTACAAAGCAGGACCATCGGTTGACATTTTTGGCTCTTTAGTTTATTAAGCTAAGCTGCTATTGAATTGATGACTTTGGCAAAGTATGACTTTTCCTGTTCTGCCACCATCAGGTTATCATAGTAGTACAGTACTTTGGTATAGGGGATGGCGTGTATGTATGTGTATGTGTGTGTGT